TAGGGTTTAGGGTTTAGGTTGCTAAGCTGAAAGTGATATTGGGGTGAGGAGGCTTCACTAAAAGGCTTCGGGTTCTCCGTAAAGGGCTTTGGGCATCGCCACAAGAGCGTTCAGTGTTTAGGGCTGAAGGTTTAAACCCTAAGCCCTAAACCCTAAACCCGAACCCCCAAACCCTATACTGCAAGGGTTCTGTAAGATCAGGCCTGGGCCAGCAAGACTTAGTGCCATCATCACAACTCCCGTTCTTTTCGAGGCCTCAAAAAGGTGGGATGGAGGTCGGTGGGATATTCCCAAATAGGAGTCCTTATGCAAGGGAACCTACCCTCACCGACCTTTTGAAGCCTCCGCTCTTTGCAAGCCGAGCAGCAGAAGGCGAATGCAGCGGAAGCGATGCACAAACTCCTCCCAAAATGGCTCGTGGGGTATGAACCAAACCCCACGCCCTGAACCCTAAACCCTACAAACCCTAGGACCGTCAATAATTATCCATGAGTCTCAGGTTTGAGAGCCTCCCAACCCCAAAACCCAAAGTCCGAAGCCCCAAACTCCTAAAGCCTCGCCTTAGGGCCCCTCGGGTTTAGTAGGGTTTAGGCCCTAAGCCCCTAGACTCAACCGCAACCCCTTATCGGATGCCTTAAAGGCCCCTTTCTTTAAGCTTAAACCCTAAACCCTAAACCCTAAACCCTAAACCCTAAACCCTAAACCCTAACCCGATTAAGCTTTGAAGGACATCCCGGGCCCTCACCTCATTAGAGTCTCCTTTTTGATACCAAATATAGTACGGCACCCTTGTAAAAAGGACCCCAAAATTCTAGATTCTTGGTTCTTGTTTGTTTCCATTCATGTTTCACGTGCACCAATGAGTGCTTCATGCAAACGACCGACTGATGTCCGTTAGTAAAAAGGACCCCAAAAGGGACTCTAATCTAGAAAACTACCCACATCCGGGCCCTAAACCCTAAACCCTAAACCCTAAACCCTAAACCCCTAAACCCTAAACCCTAAACCCTATTTCAAAGGACATCCCAGGGCCCTCACCTCGAAACGGAGCCGCGCCGCGAAGCCTTGCTTGCGAATGCGGACGGCCTCGAGGACTCCACCTGAGCAGGGTTTGGGGCTTTGGGGCTTTGGGGCTTTGGGGTTTTGGGGTTTGGGTTTAGGGGTTTTGGGGGTTTAGGGGTTTAGGGGTTAGCCCTAAACCCTAAACCCTAAACCCTAAACCCTAAACCCTAAGGGTTTAGGGCAGTTCAGGGTTTAGGGTTTGGGGTTTAGGAGCGTTTGGGGGAACCCTTAGGGCTACTTGAGGGTTCCTTTTAGGTTTAGGGTTTAGGGTTTAGGGTTTAGGGTAAGGCCTCGTTTCAAGGTTGGCTGAAAGGCTCCTTAAGGGTTCTTCCGGGGCCGCTGGAGCTTCTGCCAAGCTTAGGGTGTTCGTAACGGTCTCGTGGGGTTGTATGAGGGCTTGATAAGGGTGCGTATCGGGTGTTGTATGGATCTTGTAAGGTTAAGGGCTCATAGTATTTATGGCTTAGGCTTAGAATCTTGTTCATGGGGACTTGGGCTTTGGCGTGTCTGTTTGTGATAAGACCCTGGCAGCTCCCGCAGCGTCTTGGAGCCACTGGCTGTCCTAAAGGTTAAACCGGTATGTGCTAGGCTAGACTTAAGGTTTGTCGTCTGGCATGTTGCATTCTGACGCCTAGGCTTCGCTGAGGATACAGATTGCACGTCCAAGCAGCAGGAAACTCCAAGCCGTAGCAGCAAAACTGATCGACGATGATAACAATCACGACGACGACGATGCTGCCATTAGACATGAATATGATGAGGAATAAGACGGTGCAGGTGATGGTGATGATGATGGCGATGGCGATGGCGATGGCGATGGCGATGGCGATGGCGATGGCGATGGCGATGGCGATGGCGATGGCGATGGCGATAGGGATGGTCATGGTGACGGTGATTGTGATGGTGGTGGTGATGGTCACGGGTCACCGCCAGCATCACCATCACTGTCTTCATCATCACTGCAGCAGCGGCGGCAGCAGCAGCGGCGGCCCCAGAAGCCCCTAACTGCCACCCCTATAACAGCAAGGATCTTCGGTTCAGCACTCCCCTGCGTTTGACGGCACAGGCTCTGCTGGAGTCACTTGATGACCGAAACCCATGGCGGCGGAGTTGCTGTAGCGAAGCTGCTCGTGCACCATGCCGGCAGTGAATGCCTCCCATCACGAATGAGGTGCTTGCTCTTGTGCTTGCATGCCACTATAAGGCCAGCAGATACATGCTGCCCTAGCACTTGCTGCTGCCATTCTGCTAGGATCAGTTGTGATTATTTGTCTTTGCTTGTTTACTTTGGTGGAAGGACAAGACTGTGCATCACCCTTTAATAGACGAAAAGCTTGCAGCTGTCAGTGCCCGAACTCCCCACCACCCTCTAACTTCAATGTTGAAAACCTACATAGGTCATACAGGAATTCGGCCATAACCCTAAACCCTAAACCCTAAACCCTAAACCCTAAACCCTAAACCCTATGCCCGTGCTCAGATTTCCCGGGCAAGCAACATTGAGTTCATGCTTAGCCCATTACCGTCCCACAACATCCCTGACCTTCAGAGACAGGGTTGATCGCTGGTTCGAGGTCTCTGCACAGCCTGAGAGCCCCTTTTCCATAAGATAACAAGAACACGTGGTGTTTTCCAAGTTGCACATTCACCACAATCGCCATCATTGTCACGCTTCTTTGTGTAAATCTAGTAGCAGCTGCACCTAAGACTTGAAGCCTCGGGGACGTTCGCAGCATTCGGCTTGATGCATCTCACCTGACACGGAAGTGACTAACACACCCGCCTGTGAAATTGAGATGATGCTGCCAAATGTAGCACTGGTACAAAAGAGTCGTAGTTGTAGCGGGTAGTACTAGGAGGAGTAGTCGTACAAGTAGTGGTAGTAGTAGTGGTAGTAGCAGTAGCAGCAGGAGTAGTAGTAGCAGTAGTAGCAGTAGTAGTAGTAGTAGTAGTAGTAGTAGTAGTGCTAGTAGTGCTAGTAGTGTTGTGCGAAACTCACGATCGATAAGTCCTCCGGCCCAAACCGATCCGCCAGTCCACATCTGAAACCCCAAACTCCAAGCCCTGAAACCCTCAACAAAAAGCGTTGAACGCCTAAAAACCCAAAAAAAAACCTAAAACCCAAAAAACCTTAAATCCCCTAAAAGCCACACTATAAACCCTAAAGTCCAAGATCCAAGGTTCAGCCCAGGAGCATAATGAGTCTCCGCGACCTGAATCTTGGCCATGAGGTCCCTGCATGCTTCGAGCTGGGGAAGCTTTCCAAGTGTAGGGTTTAGGGGCTTAGGGGGTTTAGGGGGTTTAGGGGGTTTAGGGTTTACGGTTTAGGGTTTACGGTTTAGGGTTTAAGGTTTAGGGTTTAGGGTTTAGGGTTTAGGGTTTAGGGTTCAAGGTGCAGGGTAGAGGGTTTAGGGTTTAAGATTTAGGGCTTAGGGGCTTGGGGGTTTAGGGTTTAGGGGTTTTCGGATTCAGGGTTTACGGTTTCGGGCTCACGGTTTAGAGCCACGGTTAAGGTTTAGGGTTTAGGGTATAGGGGCCTCAAGAGATAGAGTAGATTCCCAGGGATCATAGAAGGACCATCAAGGCTGCTATAAGGGCTTTCGTATAGGAGCCCTAACGCTTAAGAGAGGGTACGTGGGTGTGTTTGAAAAGTCCTTCAAACAAGGATCCCTAAGGAATAGTATTACGTAGCGACGGTTACCCATTTACTATCAAGGTTCGGAGTTCACCCACCCTAAACCCTAAACCCTAAACCCTAATCCTTAAACCCTAAACCTCTAAACCCTAAAGCCACAGTTCTCCAGAGAGTCCGCGGTTTTCCCGGAGGCTCACGCAATCAAGTCCGACATGCTCGGGCGGCCGGCAAGCCCTACACGTTCGGGGTTTAGGGTTTAGGGTGTAGGGCTTAGGGTTTAGGGTTTAGGGATTAGGGTTTAGGGTTTAGTGTTTGGGGATTAGGGTTGAGGGTTTAGGGTTTGGGGAACTGAAAGGTCCGAAGCTCAACTAACCTGCAAAGCACTCGAAAGCACCACGAAACGGCAAGGTGATACAGAGACGGACCCATGAAGCCGCTGATGGTGACACCCAGCCATGCCTTCGGAAGCATCACCACCAGAACCATCATCATCATCATCATCATCACCATCACCATCATCATCATCATCGTCCCTACACCCTAAACCCTAAACCCAAAGCCCTAAACCAACATCATCATCGCCGTTACCGTCATCATCACCGTCTGCATAAACCCAAGACTCTTCTAAAGGTTCCTGCGTTCGAAGTCCCGGGGTGAAGCGGTTTTTCGCTTCGAGCAGGGGCCTTCTTGAGAATTCGATAATGTGGGTTTAGGGTTTAGGGTTTAGGGTTTAGGGTTTAGGGTTTAGGGGTCTTCATAATAAAAACAGGGCTTTGGGGCCATTATACTATAATAATAATAATAATAATAAGGANNCCCCAAAATAATATAGGCAATTATTTGAGCCCCTACATTATGGTTTTGGGTGGTACAGCAAGGCATAGACATGATAGGAACCCTAAGGAACATCATTGGGAATAATCTAGGCTTCTATAGCAAAGCAGTCCACCGCCTGAAGATTACCGAAGTAAAGAGAGGACATTGAAATCACATGCCTCCTAAGCTCTGAAACCCATGGCAATAAGTTCGAACCCTAGAAACCTTAAAAAATCATCCCAAACCCTGCGCCATAAATAACAGTATACCCTAAACCCTGAATCCAAACCACCCCCCCCAACCCTAAACCCTAA